ATGAACATGTGTCTTTTTTTTTTTTAAGTTATTTTTCTGTGGGATAAAAAAAAAAACAGTCAACCACGTGTAGTTTATGTCTGTTTTTAAAGTTTCTCAATCTGTGTTTTTTGCTTATACAGCCACTGTAAAATGCATTTTTAAACGTCTTTTCATGATGTCATAATTTATGATATTTTGTATATATCCCCATGTATTATATATACATATAGTTCATATTCTATATATTATTTGTATATAATATCATATATATATATATATGGATATATATATATATATATATATAATATATATATAATATATATATATATATATATATAGATATATATGATAATAGTGGCGCATCGGTCACTTGTTTTGTATTCTTGCAGTGACTTCAAAGAGAGAGAAAACTGTATTCACATCTTTTCAATCAGTGTAAACACATATTTATCTATTTATTTTAATATTTGAATCAGAAAAAAAATATTTATGGACTCCTCACTGAACGTGGTGTACCTCATGAAATTTATTTGCTATTTATGTTATGTCCTTTGATTTGTGTTATTTAACTCGCAATCACTAGACAGGGTGTACAATAAATGGTTTGGTGGGGATAATATTACCTTCTATGCCTTTCCGAAACAATCAAAACATTCAGCTAATCAGTCCAGCGGTCAGCCTCTCCCCTAACAGTCACATCTGCAGCGCATAAATCTTTTTGGGTTTATTTCGTTTTCTTCCGTTTGTTTGTTTTCCTCCCGTACAAACACAGAACATGAAGCAATAAAATGATTTTGCAGGAATTTTGTTGTGCCGTTGTGAACACACACACGCGCACACACACACACGTCGTCATCGCTCCACTCACGCTTGATTATGTGAATGCCAAACAAAAGTTTACAATTTCCTTTTCCTGAATTTTTTAAAAGATCTTGTATTTGATGTACAATATATATATATATATGTATATATATGTATATATATATAGTATACTATAATATATTATATATATATATATTATATATGTGTGTAATATATATATATATATATACATATTCTCTATATACATATATATATATATATTATATATACTTATATATTATATATATTATATATATAGTGTGTGTGTATGTATGTGTATTATATATTATTGTATAATATAATATACTACTAATATTATTCACAATAATGACAAGATGATTAATGATAATAATATAAATGAAAGGAAAAAAAACTATATAAAAAAGGTTGCTTTGTGACATCAGTGCACATGTGACCGGCTCTTAACCCCAACCCCGTGTGTTTAAAATGTGTCGAGTTGAACGTGTTTGTTGTGTTAGTGCATGGCTATTACAGGACGACATGCCGGTGCGGTGTATACACCACTTTGGATAACTGCCTCTCAGCTCTTAACTTGGCAGATTTTAAATGACGCTCTATAAAGCCTAGTAGAAGAAGAGGAAAAAAAATCTACTCAACAATGTATCGCATGCTGCACCCCTCCTCCCCACTCACACACACACACAGTCCAGATATCACAGCGCCGTCGACATGACATAAAAGGTAACCTTGCGGTTTCTGGTTCAATTAATATCCCGATTCGAGCGCGAGCCAAGTAATGAGAGAACCGGCTTCCATCACAGGAAGGAAAAAAAAAATCTTTTGTATAAAAGCTTTGCTGATCACAAGCTTCCTTTCATCGAGTTTGATTGTGGAGACAAGAAACAGCTAATTTTTGTGATGCAAAGAGGCAAAAATTGGTTTAGGGATGGATTTCCCTCCAAAAAAATAAAAGAAAGAAAAAAAAATCCCTTTACCTGTGTTTTTTAAGACATTGTTTTACTTTTTTGCTGTCTGTATAGCGTTTGGGTAATGGTGTCGTGTCCCATTTGATAGATGTGGCTTTAATCATTGTAATAATAAAGAAAAAAAATGCTTTGTAAATTGCCTAGAGTAGCAATATATTATAACACCTTATGGTTCAAATTTCAACTGTGGCGGACTTTTTAATAATATGGACGACATTGCCACTGCTTAAACGTTTGTTGGGTAATCATGTTTTCTTTTTTCTTGTTTTTTTTTTTTTGGAAGGACAATATGTTTATTGGAAAATGTATGCGTGTGTGTGTATGTCGGTGTGTGTGAGTGTGTGTGTGTGTGTTTGTGGGGGGAGGGAGGGGAGGGCCAAGGGGTCGCTGTGGGTTGTTACCTGTTTGTGTCCTATCCACGTTGCCTTCTGCCAAGTCCTTACCAATGCCTTTGTGGTTCTACCTATTGTACGACTTTCTTGTGAATTTTATTTTTTATGTGCAATTCTCATCAGCCTCACCATGCCAATAAAGGGAAATGTGTTTGAAAAAAACAAAACCCAACCAAAAGAACTTTCTCTCCTTTCAGCGCCTTGCCTATTATCTTCCTTTCCTTGTGATGAATGTCCCTTCATCAAGCGCCGTTGTACCGTTTTCACTCAGCGCTGAGGAATGATTATGATTTCCTCTCCCTCTGATTACTATCAAGGAGACATCCTTGATTTTTTTTTTCTCTTTCTTTTTAACGGGAGATTTAAAAGTTATGAAAACAATTCACGCCGCAAATGTGAATTCGCAACATATTTATCATCCTCCCCCCCCACCCCCTTTCCTCCCGGCCGTGCTTCTGTATCACTGAGCTGACTGACGCGGGAGAAATGACACAAGTCCGTCCTCAGCACATCTGTCTCCTAATAAAGAAAGTCGGCTTAATGCAGAGCAGCTTCCCCTCTTTGAAATTCACATCACCTGGGAGAGGAGGCGGCAGTCTTCTTTTTGTCTGTGTCCACAACTTGACTCCACACCACGAGCGTGCAAGTTAATTAAAAAGTTAGGGGGAACAATTTCATTAACACGATGGAGAGCTATAGTGAGTTGATGGTGTGCTTGATATTCAATGAGGCTTCATTATGACTATAACAATCCTGTCTTTTTCTTTAACACACACACTCACACACACTAACGCACACCCTCTAGCCTGGGAGATGGAATCGCACCAGGAGCTTCCACCATCTCCTTTTCTTTTCTGCTGGCACAAAGGGAAATATGGGAAGAATGTGCATTAAACTGTAAGGTTGGGGGTCTGATTGTGTTTTTTATTAAGGCCGCTGTTTAGCCCCGGAGAAGAGAGCGGCTGGCTTTCATTTCGGCTTGGCTGCCGCGTTACAGCGGGAGGTCTCCTTCTGCTTGCCCTTTCCACAGAATGAAACTGTCCCTGGAAATCTCTGCTCCCTGTCATGATAGGATGGCTTCTTCTTCTTCTTCTTCTTCTTCTTTTTTATCTGTTATATGTCTTTTTTTTATTATTAACCAGTAGATAAGCAGCTATCTCTACTCCAGTTGGAGGTAAGTGGTAGCCTTGGAGATAATGGGGTTTGATGGGGCTGGGCTCTCTGTGGGACAAACACTGAGATGCTGCCGCTGAGTTGTGCAGCTTGTATTTTATTTGGCATCTAGCTGCGGCTGTTGCTGTTGAAAATCCTGAAAATGGCACTTGCTGTATACACCCTTTGTTTCCAGCAATGTGATGGGAATGTTTAAATGGTTCTGGTGGCAAAGCAACTGAAAACAAAAAGAAATAAACTGCGCAATTTTGGCAGCTCTTTGGTGAACGTCTTAATATCTTGTAAGCAAGGCTGCGTGTGGGAAAAAGCAGTCTTTGATAATAAGATCAGACTACCTGAGACTAGTTAATTAAAGCCTGTGGGGTGGAACATGAGCGGTACTACTGCTAATTTACTATAAAGAGCCCCTTTAAAAAAAAGGGGGGGGAGTCTCGGCCTAGCACAAGACTACCAATTTCCCTTCTCTATGAATAGACAACAAGTGACATTGAGTCATCACAGATTCTATCACAATAATTAAAGTTAGCTGAAACTGATTATCTCTGACTAAAAGGCTGGCAGAGAGAATAACAACAAGATTAAAGTGTGCCAAAGACATGGGATTAGGGAGCTGTTGGCAATGACAAAATAACATCAAAGAAGTGATGCCAGGGTGCAATGCTGTGTCGCTGGGCTCTTGCCTCTAGTGTCCCTTCAAGGTTTCTCTTTGCTCAGTCCCCCAAACTCTGTCAGTGCCCCTCTCGCTCTCATTCTCGGTCCCTCCTTCTCCCTGTGCCCTTTCATTTTTAGGAGATTTCTTAAGCTTGTAGCATTAATCTGTTGCCAGGCGGCAGTCGGTGCCTAAGCGAAACAAGATCAAGAAGATTTTTGCCAGAACTGGAAGAAGAAGAAGAAGAAGAAGCAGGGTTTTGGAACATTATGATATCATAACCACAATAGCTGCGGGCGAGAGGCTGTTATTCCAACCAGACTGCATGTACAAGCTCGGGGATGATCGGTTAAGTCACATGGCCCGGTGGTGTTCTGTTGCAGGAGTCATGTGACCCTGCTGGCACCGATTTGATTGTTGAGAAAATAAACATTTCCCGTGGCGGTTTGCGGACCCATCGTCTCGAATAAAACTGTGCATTTGGTTCCTATCATTTCTGAAAGTGGCCTTTGATGAATCTAAACAGAATGAACCGCAAGATGTTGCCTGGCTTTCGATTATTGAAACGCTTCTTTTGTTAGCGCCATTTTTTTCCCCTCTTTTCTCCTACAAGCCTTCCATCATATGGCACCTTATGGGAGAAGATAATGACAGTGCTATTAAAGTCGCAATCTCCCTATCCGGCATTC